CCCCAAAACCCCAAAACCCCAAAACCCCAAAACCCCTTTTCCTGTTTTTAAATTGAAAGAAAAGAGGGCTATAAGGTTATTACTCCTTGACTAATCTCGCCTGAGGAACATAAACCTTTGGCTCTCCATCATCAAAGTGTACGTTGAGAGATCCATTGGTAACTGTGATGCAGTCATTGCCAGTGCTTAGGACATTGCAAAGAATATCACCTTCTTTATAAGAATCTGGCAAATATGTGATATCAACACCGAATGAAGTATGAACATTAGTAGTAGCGATAAGAACATCTCCTCTCGAGAATGCATAGATATCTTGGTTAACATATCTTTCAATGTGAGGATGCTCCCAGACTTTGAATTGTTTTCTCGCGTTTACCATGTTGGTTACAAACTTATACATTTCGCTTTCAGTATCCATGTTACCCCATAATGTTTCCCTATTCCAGGGATCATCACCTCCGTTGAAGCTTTGTTCAGTCCCGTAATAAACAATAGGGATTCCTTGAAGGAAGAAGTTGAATACCAACAAATTTTGGTAATTCTTTTGGTCACTATGATAGGATAAGAACCTTGCCTTATCGTGGTTATCTACAAATGTACCCAAAACTGTAGGATCTGGGAACACTTCATTGTCAGTGTTTACTACATCTCTTAGAGTATACATTGAGTACCCTTTTTCAAACAAATCTCTAGATGCAAAGAAGGCATGATAGTTCAACATAGCAGGAAGTGGTCCTTGATAACTTGCCAAGAAATGAGGATCTCCATTCAAAGCTTCTCCGACAGCATAACAGCCAGCTGCATCAGTGTACTCCTTCCAGAATTCTCTCTTTACATGAGGGACTGTATCTATTCTGATTCCATCGATATCGAATTCATCAATAACCCATTTAATCCATTTCTTAAGTTCCTCTCTAACATAGGGATTATCTTGGTTAAGATCTGGTAAATTAGATAGTCTACAATATTCAACTTCGTTAGGATCATCCCAGTTATTGATCTGACATTTGACATGATAATATTCTTCCTTGTCAAATGGGGTTACCTTTTCATAGTCTTCATCGATATAAGCAACATGGTTTGCTACAACATCAAGCATGACCCACATATCTCTCTTATGCATTTCATGAATCAAGCTCTTGAGGTCATCTTCTCCTCCGAATCTTGGGTTAACATTATACCAATCGAGTGCACCATATCCATGGTAATCTTCTCCATAATTTTCTGGAACAGGGGAGATCCAAATAGCATCGAAGCCCATTTTCTGGATGTAATCAAGGTTATTTTCGAGACCTTTGAAAGTTCCTCAGCAATAGTGGTGAAGATCTTCACAGTCTCCGTCGTCAGAAGCATCGGTTCTTGCGAATCTATCAGTGATGATCTGATAGATAGTCCTACTCTTCCATTCTTCTGTACTGTGGGCTGCTAGAGCAGCTGACAGAGCTAAGCAAATGAAAAGTGTTGCTAGAAGAGGTTTTCTCATACTTTTATATAAATATAATCAAAATGGGTGGCTTTAAAGGGGTTTTGGGGTTTTGGGGTTTTGGGG